TGGAAAGTCCACCACAGGCGCCAAGAGAGACGCCCCATCGGCGGACGAGCTCAGCGCCCCGCGCATCTCTTCGCACACATTTCGACTGCTTGCGTTGTAGCCGAAACGTCGTGAGAATTATTTTATTATGTTTTATTTTTCATATTTTATTACTTCCCTTCTACGTGACTTTACCGAAAGAACCAAGAAGAAAAAAATACACATTTCGAAGTTACACGGCTTTGTTATTGTAATCGTTTATTGTTACACGTTGTGCTTTAAAATTGTACACACTGAGCTTCACGAGCTGACGAACACCCAATAAAAACCCTGAAATTCACATTTTTACCAAAAAGATTTGCTGTGCTGCCCGCTACGAGGTAATCGCTAACACCCCCGCACGCTGGTGGACATCTGTGAAAGAGCTTCAGAGATAATCGGATTCCTCCTGCAGTCAAAATAAAGACCGCTTGAAAGTGATCTAAAACGGGCGCTCACACTCTGCGGCGTGAGCCTGCCACGATCATTACAAATCATTACAAATCTTTACAGATCATTACAAATAACACGGCTTGCGAAAAATAACGCCGACGTCAGCATCGCAGCGTCGGTTGACCCCGACGAAGCAATTTGAATTAACGGTGAACCGGCGAACCCTTTTAGCGACCTTTCGACCGTCGGTTCGAGTCGTTTCAAAACTAAAGAAACCGTCAGAGCGCACGACGGGGCGATCGCGGACGACGCTTTGGCAAACGGTCGCGGATCCTAGCGCCGCGCGGGGGCTTGCACGTGGCATCGGCGGCCATCGCCGCAGCGCGCAAACGCTTCGACGGCAAGACGGATGCGCGCGCCTCTTGCCGAAGCTTCCTACGAAGCGCGCGCGGATCCATCGAGCCGTCGGGAAGGCGGCTTCCGTTCGCCCCGCGGCCCGCGTGAAGCGCGATGACGGACCTCCCGGCAGAGGTCGCAAACGGGTTTTGATTCCTTACCCGTACCCGGCCGCACCAGGGTCGCAAACGGATACCCGTACCCGTACCCGTTTGCGACCCTGGTGCAAACGGGTACGGGTAGGCCGTGAGTCACTGGTGAGTAACCGTTTGTCACTCATTTCCCAACGTCTTGTCTCTTCTCACAATTCAAGTTCCTAGAATCAACCCACCCGCGCCTGCAACATGGGTACCCGTACCCGGCCGTACCCGATACCCGTACCCTACCCGTACCCGGCCGGGTATCGGGTAGGGTACGGGTATCGGGTACCTGATTGCAACCTCTGGGATGAAGCCATGTTGCAGGCGCGGATGGGTTGATTCTAGGAACTGGAATTGTGAGAAGAGACAAGACGTTGGGAAATGAGTGACAAACGGTGACTCACCAGTGACTCAAGGCCTACCCGTACCCGGCCGCACCAGGGTCGCAAACGGGTAGCCGGGTATCGGGTAGGGTACGGGTATCGGGTACCCGATTGCAACCTCTGCCTCCCGGGGGTTTCGCGTGCGCTTTAGCCGAACGCGGTTGGCTGCGTCGCGAAAGGAGCGCAACTCACACGCGTACGTAACGCCGCAAGAGGCTACTACTACCACCTTGCAATTCTGACGGGGGCTGTCCCTGTGTAGTCGCAGCAGCAGTGTGCTTCAAGAGAATAACATTAACACGCGAGTCGCATGTACGCAAAGCTTTCGGTAGGTGTATCGGCGGAACAAGAAATATATATTAACATTTTACTCTCAAGGCAAACACATCTCTCTCTCTCTCTGGAGCTCCCTCGAGCGGAGGGCCCTCACGCCAGCAGCTGCGACAGCGAGCAATTGCAGGGCTGCGCCTTTGCCGCTAATTAACGAAAAAAACGTCACCTTAAAGGCAAACAAACGTAAGCTCTTAAAGAGTTAAGATATCTATTTGCACTTCGCCATCGGAGAGAATTCCCGCCGGGGAGCCGGCGGAGGCCGAGCGGGCGAGGAGTCGCCCCCCTCCTGCTCCGTGGGGGGCTCCGTGGGGGGGGGCTCTGTGGGGGGCTCCGTGGGGGGCTCCTCTTCAGCTGGGGGGGGCCTCCCTCGCCAGCCGCTCCTCCGCTGCCATTGCACCACACAGATGGCGAGTCACCTCGCCACAATGAACCCGGACCGAGAGGCTGGGTTAGAGTCCGGGTCTAGGCTGTCCTCAGTGAACCCAGGACTGGGAGAGGCTGGGTTAGAGTCTGGGTCTAGGCTGTCCTCAATGAACCCAGGACTGAGTGAGGCTGGGTTAGAGTCCGGGTCTAGGCTGTCCTCAGTGAACCCAGGACTGGGAGAGGCTGGGTTAGAGTCCGGGTCTAGGCTGTCCTCAGTGAACCCAGGACTGGGAGAGGCTGGGTTAGAGTCCGGGTCTAGGCTGTCCTCAGTGAACCCAGGACTGGAGAGGCTGGGTTAGAGTCTGGGTCTAGGCTGTCCTCAGTGAACCCAGGACTGGGAGTGGCTGGGTTAGAGTCCGGGTCTAGGCTGTCCTCAATGAACCCAGGACTGGGAGTAGGCTGGGTTAGAGTCCGGGTCTAGGCTGTCCTCAGTGAACCCAGGACTGGGAGAGGCTGGGTTAGAGTCTGGGTCTAGGCTGTCCTCAGTGAACCCAGGACTGAGTGAGGCTGGGTTAGAGTCCGGGTCTAGGCTGTCCTCAGTGAACCCAGGACTGGGAGAGGCTGGGTTAGAGTCCGGGTCTAGGCTGTCCTCAATGAACCCAGGACTGGGAGAGGCTGGGTTAGAGTCCGGGTCTAGGCTGTCCTCAGATGAACCCAGGACTGGAGAGGCTGGGTTAGAGTCCGGGTCTAGGCTGTCCTCAGTGAACCCAGGACTGGGAGGCTGGGTTAGAGTCCGGGTCTAGGCTGTCCTCAATGAACCCAGGACTGGGAGAGCTGGGTTAGAGTCCGGGTCTAGGCTGTCCTCAGTGAACCCAGGACTGGGAGAGGCTGGGTTAGAGTCCGGGTCTCGGCTGTCCTCAGTGAACCCAGGACTGGGAGGGCTGGGTTAGAGTCCGGGTCTCGGCTGTCCTCAGTGAACCCAGGACTGGGAGTGCTGGGTTAGAGTCCGGGTCTCGGCTGTCCTCAGTGAACCCAGGACTGGGAGAGGCTGGGTTAGAGTCCGGGTCTAGGCTGTCCTCATTGAACCCAGGACTGGAGGGCTGGGTTAGAGTCCGGGTCTAGGCTGTCCTCAATGAACCCAACTGGGAGTGCTGGGTTAGAGTCCGGGTCTAGGCTGTCCTCAATGAACCCAGGACTGGGAGAGGCTGGGTTAGAGTCCGGGTCTCGGCTGTCCTCAGTGAACCCAGGACTGAGAGGCTGGGTTAGAGTCCGGGTCTAGGCTGTCCTAATTGAACCCAGGACTGGGAGAGGCTGGGTTAGAGTCCGGGTCTAGGCTGTCCTCAATGAACCCAGGACTGGGAGAGGCTGGGTTAGAGTCCGGGTCTCGGCTGTCCTCAGTGAACCCAGGACAGAGGCTGGGTTAGAGTCCGGGTCTAGGCTGTCCTCAATGAACCCAGGACTGGGAGTGCTGGGTTAGAGTCCGGGTCTAGGCTGTCCTCAATGAACCCAGGACTGGGAGAGGCTGGGTTAGAGTCTGGGTCTAGGCTGTCCTCAATGAACCCAGGACTGGGAGAGGCTGGGTTAGAGTCCGGGTCTAGGCTGTCCTCAGTGAACCCAGGACTGGGAGAGGCTGGGTTAGAGTCCGGGTCTAGGCTGTCCTCATTGAACCCAGGACTGGGAGAGGCTGGGTTAGAGTCCGGGTCTAGGCTGTCCTCATTGAACCCAGGACTGGGAGAGGCTGGGTTAGAGTCCGGGTCTAGGCTGTCCTCATTGAACCCAGGACTGGGAGAGGCTGGGTTAGAGTCCGGGTCTAGGCTGTCCTCAGTGAACCCAGGACTGGGAGAGGCTGGGTTAGAGTCCGGGTCTAGGCTGTCCTCATTGAACCCAGGACTGGGAGAGGCTGGGTTAGAGTCCGGGTCTAGGCTGTCCTCATTGAACCCAGGACTGGGAGAGGCTGGGTTAGAGTCCGGGTCTAGGCTGTCCTCAGTGAACCCAGGACTGGGAGAGGCTGGGTTAGAGTCCGGGTCTAGGCTGTCCTCATTGAACCCAGGACTGGGAGAGGCTGGGTTAGAGTCCGGGTCTAGGCTGTCCTCAGTGAACCCAGGACTGGGAGAGGCTGGGTTAGAGTCCGGGTCTAGGCTGTCCTCATTGAACCCAGGACTGGGAGAGGCTGGGTTAGAGTCCGGGTCTAGGCTGTCCTCATTGAACCCAGGACTGGGAGAGGCTGGGTTAGAGTCCGGGTCTAGGCTGTCCTCAGTGAACCCAGGACTGGGAGAGGCTGGGTTAGAGTCCGGGTCTAGGCTGTCCTCATTGAACCCAGGACTGGGAGAGGCTGGGTTAGAGTCCGGGTCTAGGCTGTCCTCATTGAACCCAGGACTGGGAGAGGCTGGGTTAGAGTCCGGGTCTAGGCTGTCCTCAGTGAACCCAGGACTGGGAGAGGCTGGGTTAGAGTCCGGGTCTAGGCTGTCCTCATTGAACCCAGGACTGGGAGAGGCTGGGTTAGAGTCCGGGTCTAGGCTGTCCTCAGTGAACCCAGGACTGGGAGAGGCTGGGTTAGAGTCCGGGTCTAGGCTGTCCTCAATGAACCCAGGACTGGGAGAGGCTGGGTTAGAGTCCGGGTCTAGGCCGTCATCAGTGAACCCAGGACTGAGAGGGGCTGGGTTAGAGTCCGGGTCTAGGCTGTCATCAGTGAACCCAGGACTGAGAGAGGCTGGGTTAGAGTCCGGGTCTAGGCCGTCCTCAGTGAACCCAGGACTGGGAGAGGCTGGGTTAGAGTCCGGGTCTAGGCCGTCATCAGTGAACCCAGGACTGAGAGAGGCTGGGTTAGAGTCCGGGTCTAGGCCGTCATCAGTGAACCCAGGACTGAGAGGGGCTGGGTTAGAGTCCGTGTGTGGACCGACCGCGATGAACCCAGACCGAGAGGCTGGGTTAGAGTCCGTGTGTGGACCGACCGCGATGAACCCAGACCGAGAGGCTGGGTTCATCGCAGCGACGTGAAATCCGCAGGCGGTGGGGACCCGCCGTGTGTTTCGTGCATCGGGAGGGGAGGAGCGGTGGCCTCTAGCGGCTGCCGAGGGAGGCTCCGGCAGCTGAAGAGGGCGGCTGCCACGGAAGCGCGACGACGCCCCCGGGGGCTCCGACACACGAGAGCGTGGCAGGAAAGAGCTGCAGGTGCCATCAGGGAGAGGAGGAGGTTGGTATGGATGTGGACGCGCGCGAAGGATGGAGGAGGATAGGTCGAGACCGGAGCGTGGCATGAGAGCGGCGTAGATGCCACCAGGAAGAGTAGGTGGATGCTGGTGGATGCTGATGGGTGGGAAGCGTGTGCGCGGGGGGTGCTGGAGGTCAGGTGACCGCGACGGACGCCGGAGTGGTGCCCAGGGGGCTAGCGACCAAGGTGGTGGTGGTGGCGGTGATGATGGAGACTGTAGCACGTGCCAACTTGTGTAGACAAGGAGAAGCCCCCAAACGTCAGATGGTAGTGGCGGCGAGTTTGCAAGAGGTCGGGTGTCGACCGAGCAACGGCCGCGCGATCTGGTAGGAGGGAAGGAGGGGCGATGCATAGCGGCACCAACGTCAATCATGCCGCGATCTGGAGTTGGTGAGGTCCTCCAAGTCCCTCTGACGTGCGGCGGCCGCGTCGACCGAGGGGGGAGGGGGTGGGGGGGGGGGCGACAACGCCGGACGACCCCCCCGCCCCCCGCGCCGCGCAGGAGTCGGTCAGTAGTAGAGGATTCCGAAACTGCCCTTTCCGTTGTGGCGGAACGAGTTGCCCACGATGGAGATGAACATCTCGGCGGGAAGGTCTCCCGTCGTCGCCGCGTCTCCCCCGCACGCCTGCAGCGACAGTGACGGGGGGAGGGAGGCAGGAAACAAAACCACACGTGAGTGAGCGAGCGAGTGAGCGGGCGAGCGGGCGAGCGAGCGCGTCAAACGCGACGATTGCGTCTTTGGGGAAACGGCGTTCCGTTGCGGAGAGCGGCAGTGCGGGCGACTAGTACACGGCACTGTGGGCCCAGCGATTCCAGTTCGATTATGAGAATACGTTTGACCCTTGCTGGCAGTAAAATTATTGTGTCGAGATGATAAAAACACGAGACAGAAACATTTTGATTTTTGATTTAAAGCTTTCGTGACTGCAGGAATTCATCTTCTTGGTTCTTTGGGTAAAGTCATCACGTAGAAGGGAAATAATACAATAATAAAAATTAAACATAATACATTACAATTCTCACGACGTTTCGGCCACAACGCAAGCAGCCGTCCTCAGGTGAAGAACAGGTCTGTCGGAAAGGCAGCGTCTGAATGAACACCACCAGGTTTGGCAGCGTATATTTAAGCTGGGTTGGTGTTCATTCAGATGCTGTCTTTCCGACAGACCTGTTCTTCACCTGAGGACGTGAGAATTATTTTATCATGTTTTATTTTTTATTATTTTATTACTTCCCTTCTACGTGACTTTACCGAAAGAACCAAGAAGATGAATCTCTGCAGTCACGAAAGCTTTAAATCGAAATTTATGGTCAAGCAGTCGCCGTCATCAACACGGCATGGGGCGGCAGGCCACTATCCAGCGGTGGATTGAAAGTGGTTGTGAATTATTCCATTCCATTGGAACCTCATTTGCCAGTAAAAATATGATAATTGGTTTTTTACCCTTCTATCTGGCAACAAAACTGACACCTTGTTTTTACAAGGAGTCATGTTTACATAGACCACAATACCTGCAGTCATAATGCAAACAAAAAACATAACTTTGATAATGTGCACTGTTTTTTGTTTGCATTATGACTGCAGGTATTGTGGTCTATGTAAACATGACTGCTTGTAAAAACAAGGTGTCAGTTTGTCAGATAAAAGGGTAAAAAAACAATTATCAATTATTCCATTGCGAGTAAGCAACACGCGTGGGTCAGAGAGATCCTTAGGAACACGCGACCGCAGTTTACGAATATAAAGTTTCACTTAATCAGTGCGATGTGCGAGCCTATCGCTGTGACCCCCCCCCCCCCACTGAAACCACCCTGCCCCCCCCATGACCTCTCCAAAAACAAAGATCCCCAGTATACTAATAGGGTGTTTCCCCTTTTTTCTGGCAACAAAACTGACACCTTTTGCAAGGAATCACGTTAACATTAACCACAAAACTTGCAGTCAAAATGCAAACAAAAAACTATACTCTTAATAATTGATGCATTGTCCTTGAAACTCATTGATCCACACCAGAGACAGCTTTCCTTAGAGCCTAGTCTCATACGGTGTTCGACCAGATGATGCCAAAAGGCGCATTTCCCATATCCCTTCCCTTTCATGCTGCTAATCCTGCATAATGCACGGGCATGAGTAGTACTAATCACATACCTGCATTTCCCATAAATATGCTAAATGCCTCTTGATATGCATATTCTTTTGTCAAGGCACTCTTTTCCCCACTTCCAACCCAGCTTATATATATGCTCCAAGCACGTGTGCTGTTTCATTCAGACGCTGTCGCCACGACAGACCTGGTTTTCACCTGAGGACGGCTGCTTGCGTTGTGACCGAAACGTCGTGAGAATTGTTTTATTATGTTTTATTTTTATTATTTTATTACTTCCCTTCTACGTGACTTTGCCGAAAGAACCAAGAAGACAACGCACCATCAGAGTAATGAGAGCTCGGGGTGAACATCTACATCACGAGGCCTCCTTTGCCAGTACCAAAATACACTAATAGGGTTTCTCCCCTTTTTTCTGGCAACAAAACGTGCAAGGAATGATGTAGATCCCCCGTACAGCCTGAACAGACTGTTGGGGCAAGTGCTTGTTAGCAAGCAGCACCACGGGGGAAAAGAGAGAGAGAGACAGAACGCACAACGGGCATCGTCGGGGTCGGGCTTGCTCGAACCCACGACCTCCCGCGCACCAGGCGAGGGCGATAACATCCCGCCACCGTTTCCCGTTAGTCACCTGCGTTTCCATCGGCTGCTCAGGGTTGCCGGCGGCGGCGACGGCGGCGGCGGCGCTTTCCCTCCACTCCCTCTTCGTCTGCGACGAGTTCACCAGCTCCACCGCGATCGCCTCCTCCGGCTCCAACAAATCTGTCGTCGCCGTCGCCCGCCCGCCATCGTCGCCCCCCTTCTCCTCCGCAGCGCCCTCGCGAGACGGTAGCGACGGGCTCTGTCCGAGGTCGCCTGCGGTTGCAACGGGGGGGGGGGGGGGGGTAAACGCAGGGGCCGGGCGAGAAGGGGGGGTCAGAGTCATTAGGAATCTTCGTATTTAGTTTTGATGATAGTTTTTGGAGGCATTCATGCCCCATCGTGTTATTTCACGCGTCGTTATATTTACAGTATGCACAGCGAGCAAAGGCTCTGCTATCCGGCACTTTGCCATCCAGAATGCTCTATTAACCGGAAGCTGTCATAAAAGCAATGGAACTTTCGATTTAAAGCTTTCGTGACTGCAGGGATTCATCTGAAGATTAATCTAAATCGAAATTTCCATTGCTGTCTATGACAGCTCCCGGTTAATAGAGCGTTCTGGATGGCAACGTGCCGGATAGCAGAGCTAATTTTATTATGTTTTATTTTTATTATTTTATTATTTCCCTTCTACGTGACTTTCTTCCCTTTATTAATGCTAACCCTACTCCCTCCCTTTGATGCTGCTAATCCTGCATAATGCACGGGCATAATATGACTTTGAAAGCCCCCGCCCACCTCCTACGCATTCCACAAGTAGTGACTAATCCCATATCTGCATTTCCCAGAAATATGCTAAATTCCTCTTGATATGCAAATTCCTTTGTCAAGGCGCTCTTCCCCCTCCAACCCAGCTTAAATATACGCTGCCAAGCGTGGTGGTGCTCATTCAGATGCTGTCTTTCCGACAAACCTGTTCTTCACCTGAGGACGGCTGCTTGCGTTGTGGCCTAAACGTCGTGAGAATTGCATTTTATTATGTTTTATTTTTATTACTTCCCTTCTACGTGACTTTACCGAAAGAACCAAGAAGATGAATCCCTGCAGTCACGAAAGCTTTAAATCTAAACCAAGAATAAGGTAAAGCCCGCCGAGCCGATTGGCCTCTTCTTCAGAAGCGACCTGACCACCATCGCAGACGACAGCTCAACGAATCGGTTGGCTACGTACGGTGCGAAAGAAGTTCAACCCACGCACCTACGTGCGCCGCACTAAATCGCATCGTTGCTAATCCCCCGCTCGGCGCCTTGGGCGTCTGCGTGCAAAGAGCTTCATAGCTCATCGGATTCCTCCAGTGCAAATAACCTTCTGATTCTTGGAGGTTCAGGGGAAGCACGACAGGGGTGGTAATGCGGCAAAACGCTCTGCTATCCCGGCATCCGTGTGGGAGGTAAAATCCGATGAGCCGTGAAGCTCTTTTTCACAGATGTGCCCGGCGAGGGGCAGAGGTCGCAACCGGGTACCCGATACCCATACCCTACCCGATACCCGGCTACCCGTACCTGGCCGGGTATGGGTAGGGTACGGGTACCCGTTTGCGACCCTGGTGCGGCCGGGTACGGGTACGTGTAGGCCGTGAGCCACTGGTGAGTAACCGTTTGCAACTCATTTCCCAACGTCTTGTCTCTTCTCACAAATCAAGTTCCTAGAATCAACCCACCCGCGCCTGCAACATGGCTTCATCCCAGAGGTCGCAATCAGGTACCCGATACCCGTACCTTACCCGTACCCGGCCGGGTATGGGTAGGGTACGGGTACGGCCGGGTACGGGTACCCGTTTGCGACCCTGGTGCGGCCGGGTACAGGTACGGGTAGGCCGTGAGTCACTAGTGAGTAACCGTTTGCAACTCATTTCCCAACGTCTTGTCTCTTCTCGCAATTCAAGTTCCTAGAATCAACCCACCCGCGCCTGCAACATGGCTTCATCCCAGAGGTCGCAATCAGGTACCCGATACCCGTACCTTACCCGTACCCGACCGGGTATGGGTAGGGTACGGATACGGCCGGGTACGGGTACCCGTTTGCGACCCTGGTGCGGCCGGGTACAGGTACGGGTAGGCCGTGAGTCACTAGTGAGTAACCGTTTGCAACTCATTTCCCAACGTCTTGTCTCTTCTCGCAATTCAAGTTCCTAGAATCAACCCACCCGCGCCTGCAACATGGCTTCATCCCAGAGGTCGCAATCAGGTACCCGATACCCGTACCTTACCCGTACCCGACCGGGTATGGGTAGGGTACGGGTACGGCCGGGTACGGGTACCCGTTTGCGACCCTGGTGCGGCCGGGTACAGGTACGGGTAGGCCGTGAGTCACTAGTGAGTAACCGTTTGCAACTCATTTCCCAACGTCTTGTCTCTTCTCGCAATTCAAGTTCCTAGAATCAACCCACCCGCACCTGCAACATGGCTTCATCCCAGAGGTCGCAATCAGGTACCCGATACTCGTACCCTACCCGTACCCGGCCGGGTATGGGTAGGGTATGGGTACCCGTTTGCGACCCTGGTGCGGCTGGGTACGGGTACAGGTACGGGTAAGGAATCAAAACCCGTTTGCGACCTCTGGCGAGTGGGCACGGGGCGAGCGAGTTACCGCAACAACAACACAACAGGCAGAGGAGTGCGCGATAGTGAAGGGAGTTATCAAGTGAGGAGCATACACGCAGACAGTCCCCGGGATGCGGAAGACCCCGACTCACGGAAACCCCCACCCTTACGGAAATGCTCCCAGGGATCGTGTTTTAAAAAAAGATGTAATTTCAACGTGCAAAAATGTTTGCGTTGGTTACGTAGGCAGTGTGTGGGATGATACGGTGGTCCTGTATGGGATGAGACGAGGGTTCTGTATGGGATGAGGGTTCTGTATGGGATGAGGGTTCTGTATGGGATGAAACAAGGGTTCTGTATGGGATGAAACAAGGGTTCTGTATTGGGTTCTGTATGGGATGATACGGTGGTTCTGTATGGGATGAGATAAAGGTTCTGTATGGGATGAGATTAGGGTTCTGTATGGGATGAGATGGGGGTTCTGTATGGGATGAGATAAAGGTTCTGTATGGGATGAGGGTTCTGTATGGGATGGGATGAGGGTTCTGTATGGGATGAGATGAGGGTTCTGTATGGGATGAGACGAGGGTTCTGTATGGGATGAGGGTTCTGTATGGGATGAGGGTTCTGTATGGGATGAGGGTTCTGTATGGGATGAGACGAGGGTTCTGTATGGGATGAGGGTTCTGTATGGGATGAGGGTTCTGTATGGGATGAGATGAGGGTTCTGTATGGGATGAGATGAGGGTTCTGTATGGGATGAGGGTTCTGTATGGGATGAGATGAGGGTTCTGTATGGGATGAGATGAGGGTTCTGTATGGGTTGAGGGTTCTGTATGGGATGAGATGAGGGTTCTGTATGGGATGAGGGTTCTGTATGGGATGAAGATTCTGTATGGGATGAGACGAGGGTTCTGTATGGGACGAGACGGGGGTTCTGTATGGGACGAGGGTTCTGTATGGGATGAGGGTTCTGTATGGGATGAGGGTTCTGTATGGGATGAGGGTTCCGTATGGGATGAGATGAGTGTTCTGTATGGGATGAGACGGGGGTTCTGTATGGGACGAGACGAGGGTTCTGTCTGGGATGAGACGAGGGTTCTGTATGGGATGAGATGAGTGTTCTGTATGGGATGGGACGAGGGTTCTGTATGGGATGAGACGAGGATTCTGTATGGGACGGTGGTTCTATATGGGATGAGACGAGGGTTCTGTATAGGACGAGACGAGGCTGCGTGGTGTATAATTGCTCTGCATTGCGCCACGTTGCCGCCGCGTCAGACGCGAGACGGGGTTCTGTGTTGTAGCCCAGAGACACACAGAACCCCGTCTCGCGTCAGACGCGAGACGGGGTTCTGTGTGTCGCCCAGAGACACACAGAACCCCGTCCCGCGTCAGACGCGAGACGGGGTTCTGTGTGTCGCCCAGAGACACACAGAACCCCGTCTCGCGTCAGACGCGAGAAGGGGTTCTGTGTGTCGCCCAGAGACACACAGAACCCCGTCTCGCGTCAGACGCGAGACGGGGTTCTGTGTGTCGCCCAGAGACACTGTCTAAGGGCTTCCTAGCAGATCCGTCTACAGGCTCGACGTCGCGTCTCCCTCCACGGGGGGGGGCCCGGGGGGGGGGCCGTCGTTTCTTAACCCATTTTCTCCGGGGGACAATGAGGTGTTCCGGCCGGCGGTACTAAATAAACCCGCCGCATTTGCCCCAAGTCAACTCCCACCGATGAATATTCATCGAAAGCCTCGCTGCTTTTGCAGCCAACGATAGGTAATTTCATTTTTTTTTTCAATTCGTAAAAAATAAACTCCCGCCGACATGAACCCCGCGCACACACGGGTCAACGGGGCCGACCTCGCGGATCGACGCGAGAAAATGTTACAAGCGGTACCGATCGGCGATCTCGCCGATCGACAGAATAAATCTCTCCAAAGCGCTCGCTCGCTCGCTCAGGTTCGCAAGCACGTAGTGGAAGGTGAGGGGTGAGGGGGGGGAAGGGCTGGTCAGAGCCGCCAAGTTCAAATCCCGACCGGGGTCTGCCATTCCCCACGTCCCTCGCCCAAGTCCACAGTTTGCTCCGTGTTGAAACAATGCTGCCGAAAATCACGATGCACTCCACCAGCCAGACAAGCCGTGCAGTGCCGATGAGTTGTGCAGGAGGTACTTTTATTTCTTTTAACTGGAGAGTCGGATATACGTGAAGGACACAATCTGCTAATTGCGTTGTTTTAAATTGGTTAAAACCATTCAAACTCTGTCTACTTGACGGACCTGTTCTCCACCTGAGGACGGCTGCTTGCGTTGTGGCCGAAACGTCGTGAGAATTATTTTATTATGTTTTATTTTTATTATTTTATTACTTCCCTTCTACGTGACTTTACCGAAAGAACCAAGAAGATGGTTAAAACCACTTGAGCAACATTGGCCTCGATTGCTAGATCAGCTATTTACTCTTAAAACAAATAATCAGGTAAGGCCCACTCAGCTACGTAGCGCTTTCTCAGACGCGGCCTGACCACCAATTGTAGCTCAACGGAGTGGCCTATCATCGTTGCGTGGAAATGTAGAGCGGCAGCCAAAACGCGTGACGTTGATTCTAATCGTGGAGGGAAAAATTCACGACGACCACAGGGAGAGGGGACACGGAAACTCCAAATACACAAGCAG